ATTGATCAACTACCTCCTACATGCTCCCTACCAGGGACTAAGCACAAAATGTTTTATTGTGTTTTTTTTTCAAATGAAATATAAACAACATGATAGCAGTAGCCATTTCAGCCTATTGTTTAGTTCTTTTTTTAATCAAATATAGTTTTGTTGATTTCAGAGAGGAAGGGAGAGGGAGAGAGAGATAGAAATATCAATGATGAGAGAGAATCATTGATCAGCTGCCTCCTGCACACCCCATGCTGGGATGGAGCCTGAAAACCCAGGCATGTGCCCTGACCAGGAACCAAACCATAACCTCCTGGTTCATAGGTCAACGCTCAACCACTGAGCCAGCCACACTGGCTGGGCTGTTCAGTTCTGGTACTGAGACATTGAACTGGATAATATTTGGGCTGTTTAGTTCTTTATGTAACATTTGACCTAAATGAGCGTCATATATTACTACACAATAACTTAGTCATTTACACTATTGATTGATTAATAGTGTATAAATTTAGTAGATCATGTATCTACAGCAGGAAATGTGAGACCTTAAGTGTTTAAATGTTTGCACTGAGGTGACAATATGGTTCCTAGAAGTGAAGACAGAAACAGAGAGAGAAGCAAGGGAGAGGCTGATTTGGAGTCTGTGATCTGGAGGAAGAGAAGGAAAAGGGAAGGGAGAAAGCGGAAAGTGCTGTGTGAGGCCAACGCACATTTCTGTTCTGACACCCTTCTGTTCTGTCAGCCTCGATGTAGGTTTTGTTCTAGGCTTAGTTCTTATGGTGCCAGGATGGGTTCTATGGTTCCAGACATCACTTCCTCATCACAACTGCACACAAACACAGGAATACAGTGTATTTTATGTTTGTGCCTACTTGTGTAGTATGATACTGATTTTTCTTTCTTAACCACCTTGTCCATAGGGTGTCTCAGAATTTTGGATTCCTTCTGTAAATTCAACTTGTTAATATGAATTCTAATCCTTGGGGACTATTCGGATATTAGCTTCCCTGATTAATTTCATTTGTGTGTGTATCTGTAGCTATCCTTTATTGGGCTAAAAGTGGATTTATCTTCTGCCTCTAATAAAGTCTTCCCAAAGTGAAGTACTGCTCAAAGAATTGCAATGTCTAAGAAGTTTGGTGAGGTATAAAATAAAAATTCTAAGCCTACACTTTGGTACTGTAGTGTAAGTTAATTATAGTAACACTAGAGGCCAGGTGCACAAAATTCCTGCAAGGGGCTTGGCCTCCACCTGCTGCGGCGGCCACCTCTGCCTCAGCCCCCGCCCGCCGCAGCTTCGTCCAGAAGGATGTCCGGTCTAATTAGCATATTACACTTTTATTATTATAGATAATGAGGGAGCATGAGACCTGGGGTGCTCAAATGGCTCTTCCACACACTAGCTCATGGTCTGGATTCAGTCACTTCACTTCTCTAGATCGCAATGTCTTCACCTCTTCCCTTGAGAGTTGTATGACAGTGCATCAGTGTTTCCTAACCTGGGTTTTATGAAAAACTAGCTTTCTGAGAAAGATTTATTAATAAGTAAAAAGTGGAAATTTTAGTCAAATATATTTGGGAAATACTGGGTTAAGCCAAGTTAATCACACTTCGTCACTGCAGGATCCCCAGAGCCTATGATATGCTAACATGCGCTGTAAATGTCTGGGAGGATGCTGGGTCTTCTGGTGCTTCTGGCCAGGGGTCTGATTTTTTCCTGGTTGTTTTGTATTGGTTTGGTCTGGGTTAGGGTTTTTTGAAGAATCAGAAGACCTGGTCTTTGGAGCATAGGTACTGAGACATTGAACTGGATAATATTTGACTCTGCAGTTATGCAAAAGGAATGTGTTCTCTGAGCTCAGAGGCTTGCTTTGGGAATGACAGGAAGGCGGGATCTCTCCAACTAAGTCAATTATGGAGTGCATATTGAAGGAGGAGAATCAGAACTAGCATCTGATGAATGGATAGCATTTTCATAGCTGAAGCTGAGTGGAGACATATATGGATGAAAGGGGTGGCATAGAGAAAGACATGAACAGGGAAAGTACAATAGATTTTGGGAAATTACGAACTGTCAAAATGATTGGATCTAAATACATATTATGAAATAGCTGGGAAAATGTGAGTTGGTGTCAGGTTGCTGAAAGCCTTGAATGTCCGAGTAGAAAGGCTGTGCTTTGTGTAGGCAGTGTAGAGCCGTTTGAGAAGAACGGTGTAGGCAAAGCGGTATGAGAGGCAGCTTCACCTGAGACACTGTGGGAGATGGGTTACAGGGTAGTGTGAAGGCGATGCTTTTGTGATACGGGCTTGAATCTGAATGCGGACGGTGGCATGGGGAATGGAATGGAAGGGATAGAATCTGGCTCTTTCTGAGTCAGAACACTCCAGAGTGCTTGTTACTGTCCAGAAAACACTGGAGAGCTTGCTGCATATGGACAGAGACAAGATCCAGCGAGAGAAGTTACTCAAGAGCAATAAAAAGTCTCATGTTTCTCAGAGAGGAGTGCTGGCTGTTTGGTTTGCTTGTTCATTCACTCATTTATTCACTTGTTTATGCATTCACCAAGCACTTAGGATGGCCTACACTGTGTAGGTAAGTATGTGTACAGGGACATGGTAGCCTTTTCCCCTAAGTTACTGCTAATAGTTTGCAGTGAGGCCCTTTTATAGTCTTGCAATTCATTCTAACTGATCTGCAGAGAAGGTTTATGACTTCATTAAGATAATAACATTTTGGATTGGATTTTAAAGAGCATTTCTTTTTTATCTTCTTTCATTCCTTTAATTTGCTAATTGTTAGACCTCACTTATTTAAAGCCACACTAGATAGTGATTTCCTATGAAATACATATTTTAAGCCCCATAATCCATTTTAAGGGCATGTGAAGATTTAAATGACATAATGCCTTAGAGGCACGAATCTGCATTAGTGCTCAATATTTACTATTTTGCTACTCTTTTTTGTTTTACAAGCGAACGTTTATTTAGAAAGCCACAGAGTTAGACAAAAGTGAGTCATCTGGGCTATGTGAGCTCAGGAAACAAGTTGCAGAGGCAAAAGAAGGGCCTTGGAACTTAGGGGGGAGAGAGAAAGCAAAGGCAGGCTCCTTGAAGGAAGAAGAGGGAGAAAGTTGTGGCTGTGCTCCAGAGAGAGAGAGAGAAATGAGAGAGCACACCTTGGGGAGGAAAGGGGGCGGGGAAAGGGGTGGGCATGAGAGAGACAGAAATGTCAATCAGCAGCCTCCTACACACCTCGAGCCAGCATCCCAGGCATGTGCCCTGACCAGGAGTCAAACCAGCAGCATTTCATTGCATTGGACAACTCCCAGTTAAGCCACACCGGTCAGGGCACCGCTTTGCTGCTCTTAACTACTGCTATTATTGCTACTGCTACTGTCATTGCTGTAGTTGTACTTGAGACTTGCTCTGGCTTTCAGTAATGCTCCAGCGTATTCATATGTAACTTCACTTGTCTGCTGGCCTCACTGTGCAGAAATGTGGCTGAGAGGGGGCGCTGAGTAGAGTGACGGACTCCTGTGGATAACAGGCCATGGCATTTGGGAGAGTCTGAGAGAGAAGGTTGTGGTTTTCTTGTGACCTATTGGAATGAGGAGCCCTCAGAACATGCTTGTGTGTGTGCTTGTGAACACATGTATGTCCATGTGTGTGTTTTATGCAGTTTATTTGGATCTGAGATACTGTTTATGTATTATTCAGCTAATTCTAATATCCTATACTCCTTTTATCTTAAAACCTTGGGGTTTTAAGTCATGCTGAAGAGGAGGTAAGAAGGCCACTCCAACATGACACTCTTCCTGCTCTTTACTCTTTTGCCACCGGGTCACTTTGCTTCCTCTAACACTGGAATTCTGGAAATCAGGATTTTTAAAGGCAGGAACACATTTCTAGAAAATTTGGAATCAAAGAAAGACATGTATTCTCGACACTGCTTAGAAATCATGATAATGATCATAGTTAGCATCAGGGACATGGGTCCCACATGATCCATGCCCTAGGATTCCCCCCTTTTGCTTCTGTGGCTGAATCAACATTCCCAGGGTTGCTTGAGTTCTCATCCAGCCAGGAGGTGCCCAGCACCGAGGGTGGGCCATGCTGCTCGCACGCTGGAGCTGCAGGTTTCTTTATTGGACACAAGAACAGAAGGGGAGCGGAGGGGGAGAAAGCAGGATCATGACCACTGCTGACTGAACTCTGCACTGGGCATGGGAACGAGGAGGAACAACTCCTGCGGCCAGCAAACGGGGGAGAAGAGAGTTTCATCTCCCTGGGCCTCCTCTGGGAACAACAACCCAGGAACTATTGTCATTCACAGAAATGTTACGGACATGCATTCATTCAGCCAACAAATATTTATGGAGCGACGCCTCTGTTCCAGGCTCTGTTCTAGGTTCTGAGCATGGCACAGTGAACAAAACACAGAAAGCTCAGCTTCTGTGGAGGTTGTGTGTCTGGTGCCTGGAATAAGGACTCCAAGGCATCAAAGTGCCCCTGGGTGTGCAGAGGCCCGGGGAGCGTGAGGAACAGATGCCCAGCATTGCAGAGCTGAGGGGAGCGAGGTAAGGGCCTGGGGCAGTGGTTCTCAACCTTCCTAATGCCGTGACCCTTTAATACAGTTCCTCATGTTGTGGTGATCCCCAACCATAAAATTATTTTCGTTGCTACTTCATAACTGTAACTTTGCTACTGTTATGAATCGTCATGTAAATATCTGATATGCAGGATGCATTTTCATTGTTCGCGACCCACAGGTTGAGAACCGCTGGGGACATGGAGTCTGATGGCGCAGGGCCCCCAGGTCTAGTGAAGGCTCGGGCTTCTACCCCACGTGGCCTGGGAAGCCGCTGGAGGGTTTTGAGCAGAGGAATGACAGGATCTGACTTAGGTTTTAACAGAATTATCTGACTTCTGTGGTGAATACACTGAAGGGGTCTAGGGCAGAAGCAGGGGGTCAGCTTAGTAAACCACCTGGGGATTGTCTTCCGTTCCTCCAGGTGGCTCTTTGCAACCAGACCTGAACTGCTCTCCCCGACCGTGTAGTCTACCTGATGGAATCCCCCCTGCAGCTCGGCCTCGGGAACCAGGACCCGCAGCAGCAGCTTCTCTCCGCTGCCAGCGTGCGAGCCAGCGGCCTCTCTCCTCTTCAGAGTTCCCAGGTCCCGGGCTCCTCGCTGACAGGGGAAATGAATGGTGAGTTCTCCCATTGCTCTCTGTCGTCTGTGTCTCTCGCCTGGAGTCAAGCAGGAAGAGCTGACCCCCCTTGGGAAGGGCCTCAGAATGCCGAGGCTTCCCTCCACAGAGAGCTTCCTAGAAAGTCCCCTAAGTGAGGTCCTGAAGCCTTCTCTCGCCTTCATCTCAGGAGCTAGTCTCTCCCACATGTCTGCACGGGAACAGAGGTGGGAGAAGGTGCCTCTCTGAGGAAACCTCCCCCCACGCCCTGTTCTTCCCCCACCTTTCATGTTCTGAACGTAAGTGGGGGACTCCAGACTTTTGGGACCATTTTTTTCAACGCCCACCTTTGAAGACTTGCATCTTTGTTTATTTGTTTTTATTGCTGTGTAATATTCTGGCACGTCACCCTGGGGTGTAAGAGCTATGACATCCTGTTACAGAGGGAAGTGCTACTTGTTAATTCAGGAATTGTATGCTTCTGTCTTGATAATCACTATCAATAAGTGAGACTATGCTCGGCAGAGAGAAAAAAGAAAATTCAGGATGTCATACCATCATGTCTTGGCAACATGCGTGTAGTAGACACAAATATTTGTTGAAAGGATTGAGTTTTGTGCTTTGAATGGAAATTGCAAAGTAATTCATATTAGGAAAGCAGTTCCCGGTCAGAATGAAGCCCCGCCTCACCAGGACAGAGCCCATAAGGAGACTGTGCCCTCATCTGTGTCACACTACCACCCAGCGGATGGCCTTTTTCCCCTACAAGGAGTTAGCAATTTTTAAGCCTCAAGTCCTTCTGAGTCCTAAAAGGAGCTGCCATGCAACTGGGTAACGAGTGTTACAGATTGCCAACAGGCTTTGGGTTTGCAGAAAGAGAAGGAGAGTTTTCTGACCGAGGGAGGAAGGGCATGAGCCTTTATGTCTGACAGTCACAGCTGGACTTGAGAAAAGTGCTTGAGCAGTGATGATGCTAAATATTGGAGCATTGCTTTCACATGACCGGCTCTGATGTGGGACTCACACTTAGACTCTGTACCGATGCTTAGGAATAAATGTATATCCAGGGGATACCGTGTGCCAAGCCATAATCTGGAAGACAGCACACATGTGAAAGGCGACATAGCAGTGCAGGAACACTTGTGAGGCACTTCGTTAACCGCCAGTGAGAGGTCTAAATAAGGAGTGCTGTGAGGATGGGCAGGCGGGGGCGGAGGGTGGGGGGAGGGGGGGAAGAGCAGTCACAGTGGGATGGGGAGGAATGCCAGGGCTTCTGGAGTCCCAGAGAAGCCAGCTCTGTACTGCGGCTCCATCATACAAAGTGCGGTGCCCATGAAACATCTTCCATGGGCGTGTGACATACACAAACCACCTCGTCACTCCGTGCTTCAGATTTTCATCTCTTTATCACCTTCTTTCAAATGGAGCATTATAACACACGCACACACATACAGAAAAGTACCTAAACTAGTTGGAGGAAAAACAGTCTAATGAGTGAATAAAATAAAATAAAGCCACACGTGTGATTGTAATTACACCAGAGAACACGAGCAGTGCTCTGAAAGCGGCGGGGGTCTCCCCCAAGCACCCCACCCTTCCCCGTGCTCAGGGTGACCACCGGCCTGCACTTGACGGCAGTGCTTTTCTCGCTTTCCTTTCGTTTTGCACACTGCACACTGTCAAAGAAAACCGCCAAGCCTGGTCTGGAATAGAAGTTTTCTGTATGTAACTTACAACCGCTTGGAGAAGATGGATATTCCTGACAGAGGGCCTGAACAATTTTCTGACGGATTTTCATGAGATTAAGGTTTATTTTGAAAATTAATTGCTCACTTGTCACTTTGGTTCTCAGTTGACTATCAGTTAAAAATCTACCACCTTTAACCACACTCACTTTTATATACCTAGACTAAAAAGGACTACCTACCCACTCTCCTTTCCTACAAAATGTACCCACAAAGAATCAATATTGGAGTAGGCATCCAGGTATCCTTAATACCTTCTTATAACTAAATGATCTGAAACGTTTACTGTCAGGGTAACAATTTTAGTATTGCCCATTTTTAAACTCTATGAAAGTGGATTCATATTCTATTTATCTTGTCATCTTTGCTTAATATTTTTTAAGAACCAACCATATTGCTTTTTTGCTTATTCATTTTTATTGCTGTGTAATATTCCATTAGAGGCATATACTAGTATTTATTCATTCTACTGTTTATGGCCATTTTGTTTCCAAAACTTCAGCTTTGGACTGTTAAGGACCAGACTGCCAGGAAAGTATTTATATATGTACCTTAATGCAAATATGCTAGAGTTCCTCTTCAGGGAAGTACCAAGAGTGGAATTGTTGGATCTTAGGATGTGCATATATTCAGCTTTTGTGGATAATGTCCACTTGCTTTTCCAAAGTAGTTGTACCAATCCCTACTCCCGGCAGCACAGCTGAGGGTTTGCATTTTCTCACTCAATGCAGGCTATTTGCAGACGTTTTGAGTTTTCTTAATTGGTTTGGAGTACAATGGTATCTTATCCTGTGGTGTGGATTTTATTATTGATTTCATAGAGGAAGGGAGAGGGAAGGAGATAGAAACATCAATGATGAGAGAAAATCATTGATTGGCTGCCTCCTGCATGCCCCCCACTGGGAATTGAGCCACAACCCAGGCATGTGCCCTTGACCGGAATCGAACCTGGGACCCTATAGTCCATAGGCTGACATTCTGTCCACTGGGCTAAACTAGCTAGGGCTCATTCTGGTTTTGACTTTTACTTGTCTGATTAAATATGAGATTGAACCCATTAACTTATATTAATTGGTCATGTGGATGTCTTCTTTCATGATATTCCTGCTCAAGTCTCTACCCCTCCTTTTTTTCCTATTTATTGGTAATTTGCCTTTTTTTTTCCCCTTGTGGGAGTTCCTACAAATATAAAATGCCTTCTATTGCTAATATCTTCTCCCACCTTGTGCCTGTTTTTATACCCTTCCAATATGATCAAATTTAGCAATTTTTTCCTTCATGGCGTGTGTGTGTGTGTGTGTGTGTGTGTGTGTGCATGCACATATAAACACATCACATTTTACTTCAAAATCTTGTCATAATTTACTGAATTTGTTTATTCTAAAATTTGTTTCTTTTTTGGTATAGTCTGTAGAGTTTTCTATCTATAAGATCATGTCATCTGTAAACAGCTCATTTTACTTCTTCTTTTCTGGTTTGGATGCCTTTAATTTCTTTTTCTTGTTTGATTGCTGTCACTAGTACTTCCAGTGGTATCTATACTAATAAAAGGGTCATATGCTAATTAGACCAGACATCTTCTGGATGTCCTTCCTGACAAAGCTGGGCCCGGGAGAAGCCGCCCACCCATAATCCTGGGTGCCAGTGACTGCAGCTGTGGCCCGGGAGAACCAGCCCACCCCTGGTCCCACAGGGATCGGGCCTAAACCAGCAGTCAGACATCCCATGAGGGGTCCCGGATTGGAAAAGGTGCAGGCCGGCTGAGGGACCCCCTGCTCCCCACACGAATTTCGTGCACCCGGCCTCTAGTGCTAAATATAAGGGCAAGAGTGGGCATCCTTGCCTTGTACTGGATCTTAGAGGAAAAACTTTATTCCCTCCATTGATTGTGATGTCAGCTGTGAGCTTTTCATGAATGGCCTTGATTGTGTTGAGAAAATTTCCTTTTATACATGTTTTGTTGAGAGGTTTTCTTTAAATTATGAATGCATGTTGAATTTTATCAAATGCTTTTCCTGTTTCTATTTAGACGATTGTGTGGTTTTTAATCTTTCATTCTGTTAATGTGTATATATCACATTGGTTGATTTGTACTTGTTAAACCTTGCATCCCAGGGATAAATCCCACTTAGCCATGGTATAAGAGTTGTTTATATATTTTAAATAGCAGTCTTTTAATTAAATATGTATTAAACAACTATTTTCTCTAAGTCTGTGGTTTGTCTTCTCATTTTCTTGATCCCTTAGCATACTAATCATAAATATTTTTAATTCCCAGTCTGATGATAATTCCAACATCCCTGTCATATCTAAATCTGGTTCTGATACTTGCTCTGTTTCTTTAAACTGTTCTTTTTGCCTTTTAGTATCCTTGTAATTTTTTTTGTTGAAAGCCAGACATGATATACTAGGTAAAAGGAACTTCAGTCTATAGGCCTATTGATGTGGTGGTAAGGGGGCGAGGGGGGAAGTGTTCTATACTGGTATGGGTAGGTCCTAGTTTTTATCAGCCTATGTCCCTGGGCTATGACCTTTATTTTGTTATTATTTTTTTAATAAAAATTTTTAATATATTTTTATTGATTTCAGAGAGGAAGGAAGAGGGAGAGAGAGACAGAAACATCAACAATAAGAGAGAATCACTGATTGGCCGCATCCTACACGCCTCACACTGGGGATCCAGCCCGAAACCCTGATTGGGAATCCAACAGTGACCTTCTGGTTCATAGGTCGATGCTCCACCACTGAGCCATGCTGGCCAGGCTGGGCTGTGACCTTTAAAAGTGCCTCTCATGTTCCTCCCCCCAAACACACACTCTCTCTCTCTCTCTCTCTCTCTCTCTCTCTCTCTCTCTCTCTCCCTCCCTCCCTCCCTCCCTCCCCTCCATGGGAAGACTAGAAGGGGCTGCTCTATAGATTCCTTTTCTGTTAATGTGTATATATCACATTGGTTGATTTGTACTTGTTAAACCTTGCATCCCAGGCTGCAGCAGACTGGAGCTGGTTATTGCCTTTCCCCCAGGTGTGTTAGGCTCTGGAGAAACAGTTTCTTTTGTTTAGAACAGCGGTTCTAAATCTGTGGGTTGCGACCCTTTTGGGGGTCAAACAGCCCTTTCACAGGGGTCGCCTAAGACCATCGGAAAACACATATATAATTACATATTGTTTTTGTGATTAATCACTATGCTTTAATTATGTTCAATTTGTAACAATGAAGGGGGTCACCACAACATGAGCAACTGTATTAAAGGGTTGCAGCATTAGGAAGGTTGAGAA